ACACAATATATATTTCTTATTATAAATCACAATATGGCAACAGGAATGAAGAGGTGGGGGATGGTGCTCTGATAGAACTCTCTTTCCCACTGTACACACTTATTTTATTGGATCCCGTGCTTAAGGACCAACATTTCACAGGGAAGACCCAGGGGAAGGGAATTGTTCCCCAGTCCTTTCTACATAATGTGCATAATTTGAAGGAACCCCCTGTGTTGGATAGTGACTTCACATCATGTGGCCAAACAAGGATTGTCTGTATGTTGAACTCCACTTCTCCCAGGGACCCCATAGAGTGGGAATACAACTATGTTGTACTTGGCTGAGGCTACCCTACCACTTCCTCCTGAGAACGGACAGAGGGGAGGCCCTCGCAAATTTCCAACTGCTGCTTTTTGGATTGAGAGCATGGCTGAACCAGAAGCCCTTGCCTGGGGAGACCAGGTCTATATTCTGACAGGCGATAAATGGAAAAAAGATGAAATTTTAAAAGAAGGAGAACAAGTAAATGATGATGCTGGGGAAAGAGACTGTTATTCTCAGTCCTCAAGAGTGTCTGATAGTAGGGACGCCTGGGGGGCTCAGTCATTAAGCGTCTGCCTTCTGCTCAGGTCATGATCCCGGGATCCTGGGATCGGGTCCACATTTGGCTCCCTGCTAAGCAGGGGGCCTGCTTCTCCCTCTCCCCCTGCTTTGTGCTCTCTCTCTCAAATAAATAAAATCTTAAAAAAAAAAAAAAAAGAGTGTCTGATAGTAAGAGAATAACACTTATTATAGTGATTTCTCTCAGAGGTAAAGCCACATGTTGGCTGATGATGGGATCAGCCCTCAGATCTGTTCTCCCTGAAAACTAGATTGAAGCTGATTTACACGTTTGGCTTGAAAACTCCGCCAGGATAATCTGGAGAAAACATGACACAGGACCCCTGAGCCCCTGCCCCCGATGGTAGAAAATTGGCACTGTCATTTGGGTTGTGATTTATGAGCCATGCTTGTTTTTCTGCTGCTTTTCTACATACCGCATGTGGTAATCTAGGTGGCTTCCTAGTTTTTGTTAGGACTGGGACAATGCCTTGTGCTTGTTCCACTCCTTCCAAGGATGGCGAGGCTTCCGTCAGCCTGCTTGATGCTTTGGTGTGACTTAGTATAAAATACATTCCTTGCTCTGAACAGATGCAATCCTGCATCAGAGTACAGTTGGAGCACGTGCTGATTTTAGCTCTCACCTAGGCAGGCTTCTTTGGTAGGATTATAGACTTTCAATTCATGGGGACAATTCCAGAAACTTGAAGCCTTTTTTTTTTCTTTTTTTCTTTTTTCCTAATCAGGCCTGTCTTAGTACATTCAGGGATATGAGACAAATTTTTATAAGTATTGTTAACTTCTAGAATATAATGACCAGGGCACATAATGGAATCCCCCTCACTAGTGGTAGAGAATGTGGTGTCTCTATTAATTGGGTATTTGGGGGTGGTTTGAGCAAAGAGAATAAACTAGGTAATCTATACCTTTTTCTAAATCCAACCTATGATTCTATGAAGTGCTACTGTGCAATGATTCCCAAAGTGTCATCCTTTGGACCAGCAGCATCAATATTATCTGGGATTTGTTAGAAATGCAAATTTTGGAGTCCCAGCCTTACCCCACTGAGTAACTGAAGGTGGGCCCAGAACTCTAACAAGATTTCCAGGTGATTCCTTTTTCTTTTAAGATTTTATTTATTTGTCAGATGATCTATAAAATTTCCTTTAGTGCTGTCATTTTCCTGAATTGTGCTGAACAGATGGCACTCGGGTGGGTACAGTGACTTATTTCTAAATAACTTGAAACAGACAACAGGGCCGGGGTAACTGGCATTTTATCAAGTTATTATCTTTCAGATTCTTTTCACCTTCGGGATCCTACATATAAACAAGACTAGAAAAATCAGTCCCCACTTAGTTTATTTTTCTGTGCTAACAGTCGTGAGACCACCATTTAGACTGAAGTTAACTCAAGAAGCCCCGATGGCTGGTAATACCCCCAGAGAATACTCTTCCCATTCCTATTATTATTCTATAAATATTCCTATACATATTGAGCAATTATTTGGCCTGGCAATTCTCTACTTCCCACGGTCTGAATGTGCCACTAATTTTAGAAAACAAATCGCAAAAAGGGAAGTCTGAAGGTCTTTGAAAATGCTACTGCATTATTTATCCACTGGATTTCCTGCAGTGTATTTATTGTTGTCTTAAGTGGTAGCAGCTAGTAACTGCAGGTAGTTCGTTGAGAATATTGCTCAGTTGTACTATTGGCTTGTGCTTCAATCCTACTTTTGATCTATAAAACACCCTGGAATCCACAGGGGGGAGTAGGATATGGAAATATGTAAGGCATAATCTTTCTCTTGTAGGGACTCATACCATGGTAAAGGAAATAAAATATGTGCATAACAAATAAATATTGAGTGTCCTGAGAGAGAACACAAATGCTACAAGATTTCAAAGAGGATAGAGATTTCTTTACACATGGGTGATCACCAAAGGCTTCACGTAGTGTCATTTCAGCTGAGTCTTGGATATATTTGGAAGGTAGGAATATGAGTGTGTGCAGTGCAGTCCATGTTTGAGCATGAAGAAGGTGGAGCCCAGAACCAGCAGGTGACCATTTGTATCTCCAGTACGTAGTTCAGTGACCAGCACAGAGTAGATGTTCAGTGACTATCATGAGTTCTGACTCATAGACAAACCATTGACTGATTATCACTTTTTTTTTTAAGATTTTATTTATTTATTTGAGTGAGAGAGAACAAGGGGGAGGGGCAGAGGGAGAGGGAGAATCAGACTCCCCGCTGACGAGCTGCAGGACTCCATCCCAGGACCCTGGGATCATGACCTGAGCCAAAGGCAGACACTTAACCAACTGAGCCACCCAGGTGGCCCTGATTATCAAGTCTTTGGTTTTTCCTTTCTTTGGAAAAAAAGACAAAAGAAAAATAAGTAACTCTATAAAAGGAAAAATCAGAAGACACATGCTGATTTCAAAAAAATTCATTAAGATGTGAGAACAAAGTGCTTTTCTGAATCTTGAAAACATGGTATTTGGTGGGTTTGAGTGGAGTGGAACTTTTGAGTACTACATTAGAGGCATCTACAGAGCCGGAATAGGGAGAATAGCTGGAAAGGTAGATGGAACCAGATTGCGAAAGGCTCTGGATTCCACGTGAACACTTTTCACTTTTAACAGAGTTGCTAAAGGATTTTTGAGCAGGTAGTCTGCTCAAAATAATATAGAAAAAATAATAATTAATGGTAGTTCAATGCCATAAACTATGGGAAAGCTCTCCACTGCTTTGTAGAAAAATGACAATTAGAATTAGTGAGAAAATTGATACTGCTTCTGATGAGCAACAGCAGAGAACCAAAATGTATTGAGCATTACATAATGACAAGGCATATGCTAATTTGTTTTGAATGTTACTTAGCAACCTGGAACAGATATTATTCATGTCATCTTTTTGTTGAACCCTAACTTAGAGAGGATTAAAAACTTTCCCAACATACTGCTAGTGGATTCTGACATCGTTTGCTTTTCAATGCAAAGCTGAAAGTGTGAAACTGGAGACCAAGAGGACTGTGACATATTGAATTTGGAGATATCCTGTGCTGAATAGCCTCTTGCCCCAGGTCAGTCTGCTCTACATCTTTCTCTACCCTGCTCCATACCCCAGGAGGCAGGTCCTAAGATCTAGTACACTATACAGAACTTCCTGGCCTTCTGGCTTCCAGTAGAGCTTAGCCAATGGGGGACACTGGCAAGGGACCCGAGGGCTGAGGGAGAATAGGGTTGAGGTGTTCCTCTTGCCTCCCAATCCTGGGATCTGGCTGGATCACTGCTCAACTGAAGGTCACACCTCCTGCCATCAGCACATGAGAAAATACAGCTTATAATGGCATCCTCAGGTTGGCATATGTTCAAATCTTTTTTCTCTTTCAAGGAGCCAGAAACTAACTCAGCCAGTGGTGTAGAACTGGTTTGAAGTAGCTTATTAGCAGATACCGCCAATAAGAAGATTGATCAGTGTGGAGAATCCAAATAGCAAACCACAGTTCAAGGAGCCCAGAGAGAGCCTCAACCTACTGATTTTCTCCTAGTATTTCCCAGGCTTGGGTTTTTTTTTTTTTTTTTAAATATTTTATTTATTTATTTGACAGAAAGAGACACAGTCAGGGAGGGAACACAAGCGGGGGGAGTGGGAGAGAGAAAAGCAGGCTTCCCACCAAGCAGGGAGCCCGATGTGGGGCTCGATCCCAGGACCCTGGGATCATGACCCGAGCCAAAGGCAGACGCTTAATGACTGAGCCACCCAGGCGCCCCCCCCAGGCTTGGTTTTTAAGGGGCTGAGAAACTGATACCTTGAACTTGGCATAGCTTAGCAAGTCTCCGTTGCTCTACTCATATATAACTTCTTTCTTTCACAAACGTGGATTCCCTGCTCCTTTCCTGGGGGAGGAGGTACCAAAATATAAAAAAGAAAGGGATTAAGTTGAATGTCTGGCGTTGGCCATTTCCCACGCAAAAATCTAAGCCCCCAGGTTATTTGGGCATTTGATGGCTTTCATTTAAAACTAAAGATACTCATTTTATTTAGGACCTTCTTATCAGATTTTATTTATAAACTTATCTATGTACACGATTTGTGGAGGAACCAATAACATATTGCTCAGTCCCAGTAGCAAATGGCTCAGTTTCACAATGGCTCCCATTTTTCAAGATAAAATGAAGAGAACAATAGCATATTAGAACTATTGTCATCTTGCCTTTAAAAAATTGGGATGTTTGAGGATTTACCAAGATAATATATACAAACTGCTTAGCCTAGGGTCTGGCACAGAAGTACAGCTACAGGAAAATAAAGTAACAGTTACTGAGCACCCACCAACCACAGGCTAGGCAGTGGAGCGCTTGCCCAAAGTTTATGGCGTTGAACCACCAGCGGTCCTAGCAACGGGTTCGAGATGCTAAGTGCTGAGCCACGGAAGGGGGCTCCCAACCAGCGGGCGTGCTGGGGTCCCCAGCGGCAGGCGCGGGATGGGGTGCAGGGGTCGCGGGGGCGCGCGCCCCGCGGCGCAGGCGCGGCCTGCGCTCTTCCTCGGCTGCGGGGGGCGCGCTCCGTGTCGCCACCCCTCGCAACGCTGGGGGCTGCCGGCAGTCAGACCAGCTCCATGAGAACCAAGCACGTGAACGTGCTGATCGCCCTGGCCGCCGTCATGCTCTTCAGCTTCTCCTGCTTTTGCATCTCCAGGATGACTCAAATCAGTGAGCTACGGCTAGCTTCTCCGGCTTCGGGGCTGCGGGATTGCCAGGGCGGCCCGGGGTGGGGTTGGGGGTGGGGAGGAGAGAAGCGGGGCGACGTGAGAGCCTGGCGCTGTCGCCCGCTCTCGTATGAGGTGTTTGACCGATGGCGCCCCCCCGCGCCCTTGTCCGACCGGCGGTTAAGCTGTAACGGGCGCCCCTCGTCTACCCCGGCGGCCGCGCCCCCCGCCAGGCGCGCGCGCTAACGGATCGGCCTGCGGGGTTGCCCGGCGCTGTCCCGCCTCCGCGCGCCCTTTCCCTCCGAAGGTTCGAGGGTCCGGTTTGTACCCAGCTTCCCGCCACGCGCGTCTTCCTCTTCCCCATCGTTTCCAGAAACGTGCCTGTCTGAATTAAGAACTCTTCTTACAAAGCCAACATCTTTCCTCTTCGTATTCCACGTTACGTTATTGAGCCACACTTCAAGGCTCCCTAGAGTATTTTTTGCGAAGCCAAAAAGGGGTATGATGGAGAGACAGTTTAGAGCGCGGGTATAGCACCTGCACTTTCTCAAATGAACCGTGAGGCTTACGTTACTGCTTCGAAATACACCGAGGTTTTAATTCGTTTTGTTTTAGGGTTCCCAGCTTAGCAAATAAAAGTGGAGATTGCCCAGGGAAATTTGAAGTTTGGATAAACAATGAGTAAACTTTTAGTATAAAAATTGCACAGAATATATTTCTACCAAAAGACTTGTTTATCTGAAATTCAAATTTAACTAGATTTCCTGCGTTTTATCTTTCAGCTCTACTTGTCCATTGGCCAGTGTAACATTTTTTTTGAGAGTAATAGAAGAGCTTTATTTTTATTGATTTTTTAATTATTATGTTATGTTAATCACCATACATTGCATTGGCCAGTGTAACATTTTAGCGTCCATGTAGTTGGATTTTTAATTTAAGCTTAGGAATCCTGTATATATATTAAGCCAGCCTTCCAAGATTGTCCTTAGGTTGTTTTAGGTTAAATTTTCTTTCTTATTAAACACATTTATGACCCAGGGTTCACACAGAGTAACCTTGGTGGTAGTGTCAAAGATCGAGTTTGGAAGTGGCTTTAGTCTTCTGATTAATACGAAATTTTGTCATGTATACACAATATCAACATTCTACTATTTGTTTCAAAGGATTAGGAATACATAATAATTTATCTGATTAATACTACTGATTTTTAATCATTTTATACACTTCCCCCTTCTTCATTTTCTTTAAGGAACATTATCCAGATGTGTTTTTATGCATTCTAGGACAATAAACAATTACTACTTTTATAACACAAAATAAATCGTTATTCATAATTAGAAAGTAAAATGTAAACTCCCTTTTAGAGTAATTTTGGAAGGCAATTTGGATTGGTAATGTCAGAAGACATTTTAATACAACTAATATTATTATATTATTTATTATAAACTGTGGACTTTGTGTTATGACCAGGAAAAAGAAGTTTGGTCCCTCAAAGTATTTATATTCCCAGCATTCATATGTTCAAATTCAGAATATGAGATACCGTTCTTGAAAATGTACCACTCTTAGAATAACTGATAAAACAGGTTTCTCATGTTTTACATTTATGTTTCTGTGTAACCTAGGTCTAAAATAGTTACAAAATCAATCCTTGTACAAAATCAATCCTGAGATGTTCTTATGTCAACAAAAGAAAACAAACTTCATTTAGTTTTGGAAGCAGCGATTTTTATAAGACACCAAAGATAGTACCAATGGTTTTTAAAATTTGATCCATAGTTGTAATTCTTATCAATGAAAACTTGGGAATTTTTATTAGAAAGATGGCTGGGGGTGCCTGGGTGGCTCAGTTGATTAAGCACCCAGCTCCTGATCTCAGCTTAGGTTTTGATCTCAGAGTACTGAGTTCAAGCCCCACACTGGGTTCCATGCTGGGCAAAGAGCCTACTTAAAAAAAAAAAAAAGTTGGCCACAACCTAGTGGCCTTCTTTACCCTTTTAAATTTTTATGTACCTATAACCTTTTGTTTCTATAAGCTCATAGTATTAACAGTTCATTAATTTATTCTATAAATATGTAAGCTCCATGAGGAGAAGAATTTTTTCTGTTTTTGCCTGTTTGGTTCACTGCTGTGTCCCCAGCATCTGGAAAAATGCCTGATATAATAGGTATGCTAAATATTTGTTGTCTGGTTGAATGAATGAGTGAATTAATGAATTTGATAAATACTTCTTCATGTTGTAGGAACTAGGCAACAAAAAATTTTTAAACCCTCACTTTCAGGGAGCTTACATTCTGGTTAAGGGAAATAAACAACAAACAGGAATGATAATGCTCTGTGATGTCAGGTGTTGACAAGGGAGAGAAAGTGCTATTTTAGATAGGGTGGTTGAGGAAATTCATATTAATGCCTATTCCTGAATGAAGTAAGGGAGACTATTGTGTGGATATCTGGGGGGAGAGTTTTCCAGGCAATGAGAAAAGCTGGTGCAAAAGCCGTGTGGTGCAATCAGCTTGATATGTTTGAGAAACAGCTAGGAGCCTAATGTGAACAAGGAAGAGTTGTAGAGGGATAAGATCATGGAGACCATAGTAAGAACTATGACTTTTATGCTGAGTAATATAGGAAGCCATCTATATAAAAAGATGGTCAACATCACTAATCATCAGGGAAATGCAAATGAAAACCACAGTGAGATACCACCTCATACCTGTTAGGTTGGCTATTTTTAAAAAGACAAGCAATAATGAGTGCTGGTGAAGATGTGGAGAAAAAGAGAACCTTCATGCACTGTTGGTGGGAATGTAAGTTGGTGTAGCCATGGGAAAAAAGCATGGAGTTTCCTCAAAACAATAAAGATGGCACTACTCATATGACCCAGCGATTCCACTTCTGGGTATTTATATGAAGCAAGTGAAAACACTAACTTGAAAAGGTATGTTTATTGCAGCATTATTTATAATAGCCAAGCTATGGAAGCATCCTAAGTGTCCTTCAATGGATGAATGGATAAAGAAATTTTATATATTCTATTATAATGGAATATTATTCTTTCAGTCCCAGGTGTAGCTCGAAGTCAGCAGAGTCCAGGATGTACATGTGGGCCAATCAAGACAGTAATTGAAATGTCTTGTGGAATTTAAAGTGTATCTAGAACAACAGTGTGTGACAATAATTACAAGATAAGATAGGAGAGGGGTAAATGGAGTTAAATGGTACTAAACTTGCAGCACTGTTGAAAAGTGAGAATGTGAGAATTTGTATGAGACTGTAATAAGTCAAAGATTCACATTGAAATCTCTGGTCTAACTACTAAAATAATTGTAAAATAATGCATAACAATATCACTCATTATAGTTAGTGCTCCAAAAAGGAAATTACAGTATTTTCTGACTGGATATAAAACATAACCAAACTTGATGATGTTTACAAGAGATACATTTAAATTTTAAAGATAGAGAAATGTTGGAAGAGGGATGGAAATGTATATACCAGCAACCTGATCCAAAAGAAAGTTGATGTAGCTATATTAATATCAGCAAAATAGACTCTAAGGCCAAGTGCAACATAAATGTTGAAAAAACATGGGAAGAACTTCATTAGCAATCAAAGAAATGCAAATTAAAAACACAAGATAGCATTTCATACCATTCAGATTTTTAAATTTAGGAGATAAGACATTTGGTGAGGATGGGGAAGTACAGGAATTTGCACAACACTCCCCTCGGGAGTGGGGAGTATACATACTTACATTCAATCACTTTCATTATGTGACGTGCATTTCCTGTGTCCTAGCAATTCTGCTAGTCAAGACTGAAATTGGTGTGCAACCTTACCCAGTGGTTTATGGCCACCTCCCCTTGTCACTGATCAGTACCCATGCCATATAGGTTGTTCAATATTTGGTTTTTTTTAAAGATCTTATTTATTTGTCAGAGAGAGAGAGAGCACAAGCAGGGGGAGCAACAGGCAGAGGGAGAAGCAGGCTCCCCACTGAGCAGTGAGCCTGACGCAGGACTTGAACCCAGCACCCTGGGATCATGACCTGAGCCGAAGGCAGACGCTTAACCGACTGAGCCATCCAGGCATCCCAAGGTTGTTCGATATTTAAAATAACATCGCTACCACCAGATATATCAAACGGAAACTCTTGAATATATCAACCTGGTATATTTTTGGTAGCATTTTTTATAATTGTTCATCAACAGAAGAGCTAAATGTGTTACTGTATATTCAAAACAGTGGAACATTTAACAGTAGTGGAAGTGAATGGACTAGAGCTTGACTTATCAGTATGGATGGATTGCAAAAACATAAATTAAGCAAAAGAAGCAAGTACAGAAAATACGTATAAGTATTATTTATTAATAGCTAAAAACATATGAGTCAGCTTGCACAAGTGGTAAAACTTGAAAGAAAAGCAATGGAAGATTAATACAAAATTCAGAATTCTGCTTATCTGGGAGTAAGGAGGAAAGGGAACATAATCTTGGAAGGAAACAGATGGACTATTTAAGGCTAGGGTAGTAGTGGATTCATGGATGCTCATTTTTATTATTGTCTTTCAAACTATTTTATATATGCTTTGTAATGCCTGAAATATTTCATCATAAGACCTAACGCATAGAGGGCCCACTCAAAGAGAGTTCAAAGGGTGTTGTTCGTAGTGTGATTTGATTATTGCAAAGTATATGTGGAGTGGAATAATCCAAAATATATTTTACCTTCATCTCCTACCAACTGCCTCGGATAGTCTTTCTTTGGAACCACTTTGGGTACAAATAAATGAATAATAAATTTGAAGTGGTCTGCCAATACTTCAACCTCATGCCATTCATTCCCCTTTCTTTTGACCCCCTGAGTGAATTACTTGCTTTTCCCTCAGCACGCCATACCATTTCATACTTATGCATTTATGTTGTTATTTTCTTAGTTTGGAATGCCCTTCCCTTTGCTGTAGGGCGGCATTCTGTACATTCTTCAAGTTCTCAAATATCCCCTCT